AAGCGCAGAATTCAACAAAGGACAGGCCTGCAGGGAACGGTGAGGTACAGGATATCAAACCAGTGAAAACCAGTCTGTTTGCCACACGGTGTCGGATAATGATTCGGATAATTCATGCATAAGTAGAATCTCAACATAGTCTCCGCACGGAGTCCTCGGATACTGCTATGCGGGAGCCAAAAAGTAAGCTTTGCAGAAACAATTATGAAGCTAAACCTGTGACGCGCTCAGCAATGCAGGAGGCTAAATAACCCAGCAAAATCTATCCGACTACCTTGACCCATTTTCGGAAGATAAGACCACCTCAGAGAATCTGGATGATATGCTGGTATTGCTAATGGGTAGTAGTGAGATATTGGGTGAGGTATAGGGCATAGGGGGAATACTGTATTACTAAGTACTATCTCCTGAATGGGTCAGGGCCGGTTAGGGCTCTGCTGACTAGTTCTTGGCTGCTCTCGCAAGAGAATGCTTGTGCATTTCCTTTGAGGACTCTGGAAAGCGAGCCTCAAAGTGCAGCTCTCCGGGCGTGCTGCTGGGGCCGCCGCACAGCAAATTGGCCTACCGCCGGAGAAGGCAGCACCGTACGGCCGTACCATAGCTTCCGCAAAGCTTGCGCATGGATGATGAAATCTTGCTGTTGGCGACAGTCCTTGCATGGAAACCAAAACTGGATGAGTGGTTGCAGAGGTGGCTGTGGAAGCTGGGCGAGCAGCTGCCATCGTTGCAACCGAGTGTCTCGACTTTCCCACTCACTTTCTGTGAAGTGACCCTCTTCACTGAAGATTCGGGAGTAGCTTCATGATGAGATAGTGCCCCGTGCAGAACACAGGTGCCGCGTGAGAGCCGAGCTTCTTGCCAAAATGGTCGGCTCAGCAGCTGGTGCCGCAGGGCTGGCCGCGTTTGGGACTGCAACCAGATCTCAACTCAGAAGTTCATCAGCCGCGCGACTTTTTGGTCTTGTCTCCTCAGGCCGGCATGACCTTGGAGCAAGCAGCAGGGGCGGCCAAGCTAGCTGCCCAGACCGAAGGCTACGATGCGGGACTGACGCCGGAAGCTTGGCGCGCAACCCTCCTGAGGCAGCCTCGGCTGGCAGTCAGTGTAGTATAGGTTCGTGAAGAGCACTGCTGTCATGTGTGCGAACAATAGTATCATGTGGACCCGATCTTGCTCGTCCTACATAAAGTATCCTGTTCCGAGGATGTTGCGGCCAGAGCAGGCCGCTTGGCCTACGACAAGGTGTTGGGCAGCGTCCCCAGCTAGCAGTCTGCGGCACATCGCTTGGGGCTGTGTGGCTCTTTAAGAGGCATCATCCATCAAAGTGACTCCGAAGAGGACGGCGTACTTCGCTGCTGTTTCGCTGTGTTTGTGAGCCTGTAATGCTGGCGGCACTGAGTGCTCCTGAATGTCGTCAGCTGCCGGTGCTGCACTCGTGCACAAACACGAGAGTTTCCCTGTTGCAAAGCAGGTCTGCTGCAAGTGCCGCGAGGTTAGCCACGCTCTCCCAATCGCCTGCCCGATCCGAACCTGACGATGCAGCAACTCCAAGCCTCCTAATGAGTCCTCATGGTAATGGACGTCAAAACCGAACACTGCGAACTAGATCACAGAGTTATGCCATGGCAGCTTCAGGGCGCCTTCTTCCCGGAGGCATGCGCGCACGTCCAACAAAAACATCTCTCAAGTCCGGACAAGAAACCGTAGTCCACAGACAGGCCGAGATAGTGGCTCCCCAAGGGCAAGACCGCGACCCAGAAAGAAGGCGCAAGCTGAGAATGTACAGCCAGCGGCACCCTGGCGGATGCAGACGGACGCAAATATGCATCGGCTTTAAAAGCTTTGTCATAGGCAGAAGACGGAGTGAGAGGCTGCTAACCGAGGTTGACAGCATCCCGGGCTGGCAGCTGCTCCCCGGCAGATTGCAATGGTCCAGATAGCTGCGAAGCTGTTGTTGCGTGCTACTGATGTTGCCGCGCTGCCTGTTGCTGTATGGCGTCATGAGGCTTGAAGTGAATGCGACTTCTCAGCCGGCATCCCTTCCCTTGCCAGACACTTCAAGCTACATGCAGAATATGCAGCTGTCTGAAGCTTCGGAAGCTTGCGGTCCTCGGGAGATCTGGAAGATCTTTGGAGATCTGGGTGGCCCCCGTCAGGAGCCAGAGGATGTGAATCTGCCAACCCAGGGCATGACATACCCAAAGGCTCAAAGCAAGGACACGGTGATATACCTTCCTCGGCCAGCAGCCGATCGGCTGCGGGAATCCAACTCGAAGCAGGTATCTGAGCTTTGGCAGCTTCGGATGGCTCTGCACAGGAGCATGTCCCGTGCACACAAGCATCAGTGCTTACAGGCCAGGCTGTCGGCTGCAAGGGCAGGGGCTGCCGCGTCTTTCACGGCCCTGGAGAACCGAACAGAGACCATCGAGGCGGTGAGCGAGACGAATTCGAAGAAGCTGCAGCGCCTGAAGGGTGTGGCAAGAGACCTGAACCTCAAGTGCAAGTTGGCATCGGCACGACTTCGTCACCTGCTTGCAGTGGTTGGTGGCACCGGAGCTCAGAAGCGACCCGAGACCTGAGGTGTCCTCAGGGCCATGGCAAAGCAAATCGGCAGCGAGACCTTTGCCAAAGAGCGAAGCAGTCTGATGGCTCTCATCTTCGAGCTTCACATGGAGCAGGTGGGTTCATGTGCCTCTCATGCCAGATCTCCATGAGAGAGATGCCCAGGAGCAGGCCACGCCAGAACTTCTGCTCCACGTCCAGGACACCAGTCACACGCAGAGCTTGCTGTTTTGATACCAGGGCACAGGGGAAGAGCCGCCTTTGGGGTGCTGAGGAGCAAGTCCTGAAAGCGATCGATGCAGAGACCTGCTCTTGCCCAGCCTTCGAAGACTGCGAAGACGACACCTCCACAGGCTTGGATGGCCCTGCTCCGGCTCCGGCTGAAGGCAACTTCGTGATTTATATGTACTTGCCGCCACTTCTTCGCTCGTCCATTCTGCCGGCGCCATCAAAGCAAGCGCAGCAACAGCTGAAGAAGGCCCAGGCATCTGGCCTGCTGGAAGGCATCGTGCAAGAGACCCTGAGCAAGTTCGGCATCAATGCCCGAGTGCATCGCATGAGGCCACCCATACTGCTCGATGGTGGAGAGCTCCGAGCTCCTTCGGGTACTGCCAAGATACAAGATTTGGGCCTTGTGATCGCCCCGAGCCCTCCAGGAAGAGCCTGGGTGGTGGAGGCAGTGGAGCAGAACAGTTGGGCAGATGCCTTTGGAGTGCGTGTAGCGGACCGCATCTTATGGATCAATGGCTGGCCGACATCTGCTATGAGCCCGGCACAGCTTCTGCAGTGGAGTGAGCATCCTCTTACTTTGATCCTTGACTGAGTTGGATGTGCATGCTTTCAGCGCGCCTCAAGCATTGAGACACCAGGTTCCTCGCTCGCAAGGGAGGTGAAGCCTCCACGAGGATGGAAGAGTCTTGCGCGCTTCGGATCCAATCGAGCTGGCGTGCGCGCAAGCGGTTCAAAGTGTCCTCAAGACGGTCTCCAAGTCTGATGGGCCTACCTTTGCTCCTCAGCTCTTCCAGCCGAACGCGAGTCGAGGGCATGTGATTTCTGCGATGAGTTTCACCCTAGACGCCTCTCCTGCTCCAAGGGATGGCCACACAAGACTTTCGGCATGTGCTGGGAGACTGGTGTCTGTGTTGGGCTTACACTTTCTGCCGGCCACCTTGCCGGGCCCGTTTCTCCAGATCGAAAGCTTCTCGGTGGCACCAAATTACCGCATCCGCGTGTCGTGCGTGTGCTTTGTGGCTCTTACGAGGAGTGGACCCGGAATCTTGGGCAGAGCGGGTGGGAGTGGAGGCTGGAGACAAGCTACGATGCATAGATCGCGAGTGGACCGAGCATCTTACAGACTCTTGCCCGAAATAGATAAGTATGCACGGGTCCCTGGCAGAGAGTGTGTCCCGTCTCTTTTCGGCTGTAGCCCAGGACCAACTCTTCGCGCAGTTGCTGCTGGAGCGGCCCATTCGGCTGATCTTCGATGCTGTGGAGCGGGTGGGTGAGACTCGCGACACCACGCAATTCACTGCAGTGGCTGGTATGAAGGACAGACAGCTGGGTTTCCGACTTGCTTCTCTGCCCCCGGCTCCGTATCTGTTGGTCCAGAGCGTGGAGGAACATTCATGGGCTTTCCATGCCGGAGTGCAAGAAGGTGACCATCTAGTGGCCGTGTACCGGAAGCGGATGGCCGAAATTTCCGCTGAGCAGTTGTTGGGCATCTTCAAAGGCCCTCGCCCGCTTCGCTTGACGTTCAGCCGCCTGAAGCGTTTCACTGTCACCATCACCACTCGGGAGAATCAGATGGGCTTACAGACCAATGGCGTCCCTCCAGCAGCCTTCTTGGAAATACGGACAGTGGATCGAGGAAAATGGGGTGAACAGGTGGGAGTATTCGTTGGAGACGCCCTGGTAGCGGTGAACGGAGTGTGCTTGGACAGTATGTCCAGGCGGGAGTTCATCCGACAAATGAAGGAGGAACGACCGCTGTCCCTCACTATCGATCGGAATCACGGAGGGAATTCACTTGACCGGTTTGAGCGCTTCACGGTCACTGCGGGCCGGATACTCAATGATACGGGACGGGGGACGGTTTGTGCATTGCCGTGCTGGGCATTTGCCCTCAGGTGAGGGAGATGCCCGCCTTGGCTTGCGACTGTCCGGTTTGCCACCCGCAGCCTGGTTACTTGTCGAGAAGGTCGCTGATGCAGGCAGGACGTCGCTACCGTGCTGACATGCTGCCTCCTTCCATGAAGCTTCGCACCAGGTTGGGCACAAGCGATGCAAATCACGGTGGGGGACCGTCTTGTTGCAGTGGAGCATCTGAATCTTGGACGTGGTTGGCAATCGTTCTGAGCGCCCGCGCTCTTTGTCTCTCCCTTCTTTCCTCCTCCTCTCGCTCCCTCTCTGCCTTTCTTTCTTTCGTCAGGGCTATGGCCAGGGGAGTTGCCCCCTCTCTCTCTCTTCCCTCCCTCTCTGTCTCTCACTCCCTCTTTCTGTCTCACTCGCTCGCTCTAATAGCAAATCTGCATATACTGCACGGCACGATTGATGATCTCGGCGATGCCCCAACCGCCCTGTCGTCGTCATCATGAGTATTCGCAGTACGTTGCAGCCAGGTGCCTGGACCTCGTGCAGAAGGAACAGTTCCTGGAGCTTTTCCGAAATGTGCGACCGGTGCGGCTTACATTTGCGCGGGCAAAAGATGGCAACAGCGATATCCAGAGTCGTCACCAAAGCAAGACGTGCAATCTCTTCGCAACATTGCAAAAACAGGCAGACCGCAAGTCAGTACAAGCTAGCCAGCGAAACATCAGAATCACAGTGCTAGACCAATCAGCTTGTCCTCACGGCGATTGTGAGTTGCAGCAGATTCCGTTGCCGTGTTCACATACAGCCATCGCAGGAGACATTGCAAATGCAGACAAGCTTGAAACTCGGCTGCCGCAGGAGCATGACGAAGATGTTGTCGAGGAGGTCGGCCTGGTTGTTTCACTTGGAAGACTTGTCATGGTTTAGTCATGGCTGCCAGGAAGAAGAGGTGGTCGAAGAGGAGGAGGCCTCGTGGTGTTCCTGAAATGCAAGACCAAAATCTGCCAGACGCTGCATGGCCTTGATTTGTGGAGGTTGCAGTGGCGGGGGCCTTGCACATCCTTTCGCCTGCACGAACCGATGTGAAATGCAGCTCTCTTTTTTTTTGGCATTTCTCAGGCGCATGGCTTTGAGTCCCTCCTCGAGGCTGAGGACTCCCCGAGCCTCGGTGCAGAAGCGACCGTCGGCCGTGTGACGCTCTGGCAGGACGCCTTCAATGAATGGATGCTCTCCGCATGTGAAAAATACGGCAAGGCACTGGCACAAAGCTCACCTGTGCTTTCGTGTAGTTGCATGCATGCCAGGGCCCTTCCATCGCTTGTTCCTCGCAGGGCATCCATAAGAAAGTTCATGGCAAAGCCAAGACACTTGGCAGAGTCGTGAGCCCAGATGTCACCGGTGTGGGAGCTGTCTGTTTCTGCGTTCGCTTTTCCGAGGCCTATGCCTTAGTGTGGCAGGCCTACAGGAAGAAGCTGGAGAAGGACCCACGTCCAGCTCAGCTGCTGTCAGACTGTCAGACGCTATCAGGGTTCACTCAGTGCAGCGTAAGGATGAGAGTCGCACGGACGACATTGACAAGGCATGGCAAGAGAAGGGAGTAGGATTCTAGAGTCTAGAGCAGGTCTTCGGCGGGCACAATCGGATGTTGTTGTCAGGACGATCATGTGCTGCTCGCGACTTATGTATCCCCCGGGTAAATGGGTGGAGACGGCCCCGTGTCCTACCGAGGATGGTATTCCATGCCAAGCTCTACCGAGATATCGGCTCCTTCATCACAGCTGCGTGCTCAGCCACCTTAGCTTCAAGCTACTTAACAAAGCAAACAAAAACAAACAAACACACACACACACACACACTCACACTCACACTCACACTCACACACTCACACAC